TAAGGTAAAGACTACAAGATATTCTTCCAAATTCTCGAAATATGACGTACTCTGTGATATTTTCGCCTTGTTTTGAGACAGCATTGACGCATCTTCAACAATTTTTTTTTCTTAAGTTTTTTTTGGCTGTTTTCATAACAGTCGAATATTTGCATATGCGTCTGGCCGTAACATGTTTGTCGTGGCGACAGCGCGACAACAACCTGGCTAACACGCACCGGCCACATGATACGGCTGATGATCTCCCCCGAACTAGATCAGCGCCTCGGGTCGGGGTATAAAAGCCGCGCGCCAAAGCCGCTTTCAAAACACAAACCCAAGAGCAAGCAACGTGGCTAAGACTAACAGCCAGAAGTATCATTTTTTGTGAGAATATAACTTTTTCGTAAACGTGCCAAATCAAATGTGTCAATGAGGACACCGGACTCCAAAGCGAAGCTTTTAAATAATTTAAGGTCAGTTTTTGAGCAAGCAAAATCAAATGATGGGCATTTTGAACTAATTTTATTTTATCTTGCACCACCTGCAGCCTCTCAAAGCATCTATCCTCCAAAAAGGGTTCGCGCACCAGCAACTGCGGCAATCGCCTGGAATTCTTCGTGCTCACGCATCTGACCAACGTGCCCTGACTTGTTCAAGTCGCGACTGTACACACTTTGTAACTGAAAAATTGAACTCTTGAGCCCAGACACTATCACCATGGTCCATCAGACTCGCACCGCTAGCAAGGCCGTTCCCGCCAAGCACCTGAGTCCCATGCGCAACGCGCAGGACATGCAGCTCGGCAAATACGGCATCTCCAGCAGCCCGGCGGACAGCTTCTTGCGCAGCAACAGGCTGAGCGTTGGCTCTGCCCACCAAGGCAACAACAACAGCAGCAGCAGCAGCAGCAGCTCCCAAACTGCAGCTGCCTATAAATACAACAATATGGTCAACAATAATCGGGAGCAGTTCAATGCCCTGCACTTCTGCTAAGCCGCATTATGATTAAGTTGAGATGACGTCTGAAATAAATATATAATATATAATATTTCAATATTAATTGTGAACGCCTGTTTTAACTCATAAATCGCAGTCACGTGGCGCAGTTAAAAACATATACATATATATATACATATGCATATATATATATTTTTTTTTTTTGGATTTTCCTCTCGCTGGCAAATTAAATTATTAGCATGAATTTCAGTGCCCCGCCCACGCGCATTGCCGACGGCTGAAAAACATTTTTCATTGTTTGCGGCTGTCTGCGCTCACTTTATCATTGCATGCAAATCACACACATGTGTGTGCGGGTGTGCGTGTGTGTGCGTGTGTGTGTGTGCGCGTGGTGTTTGCCACATTTTGCACATTTGAAATTCAGTTTTTTTCCAACACACATTTGCCATATTTCAACATTAGTGCAAAATCAAAATGCTAGCTCGGATTTGCATAAATTTTGATTAGCTTCGAGGCTTGGAAATTTCACTTGGATTCCCGCTAAGCTGGCCAAAAACCTGACTGGGTGACTCCCCCAACTATGACAATAGACACGTTTTCATATGTGATGTTTTATTAACAAAACAATACCATTTATCGATAGCTAAGCATATTTGACACACTTGCGGCTTGGCCACAAATAAAAATATGTAAAATATGCTTAGATTCCAGTTTATTGAAATTGTTTTA